GATGCCTCAGGAAAGCTTTGCAACGTAAGTCATTTATATAAATGAAAATCGACGTTTCCGCGGATGTCTTACTCGCGTTTTTATTGTGAAATTGATCTGGATCGCAGTAGAGTACCGGTGGATCTCGGATGAGCTAATAAAGATCGATGACGCGGCTGATGGTCGTGGATCACCGATCCGAGACCGTCGTCTTCTCCCTCTACAGTTAATCGGATCGATCGAATCCGAATTGCCAGTTGTTGTACGTAGCGCAGTATTCCGTGTCGTGTCATCGCAACCAGTTGTTAGCGATGACACGGCTTCTTTTTATAGACAAACGTAAACGTCATGTACGCGCACGTGCGTGCGTGCGTTGCTTCGGTGAATCGGTTCCTGCCAGACACGTGTGCTAGTTTACATACGCGAAGCATATACAGGGTGACTCCTGAAGAGGGAGGCAGCACTTCAAGCACTTAGGATCTTTCGAGCAATCTGAAGTTCGGTTATTAACGACAATCTCTCTCTCGAGATGTTAATAGTTTTGAGTCATGGAATTTGTAAATAAAATCCTCCGCGTATTAATTTTCCTAAAATGCGACTAAATAAGGAAACTTTAATCTCTCTCTTCAAGTAATTTTATAAGTGAACTTCATTATATTTCTATTTTCCTAGAAATTGTAATAAAGAAGAGAAAAAGATGATTTCGTAAACTTTTTTTTAATTTAGATGGAACTAATTTTATGGAAAATTTATATCAACTGAGACTTTTTTTTTAAATTTACATAAACTGAAATAGTTTTGTAAGACACTTTATATATTTGCATTACGTGCAACATTCAACCGTTGCACACATAATAAGAAATAAATTTAATTTAAATAAACGTGACGGAAACGTTGAGTACTGCAATTTTGCCAGAGGACTTGTCGATCACGACGATCGATTTCGAACTGATTTCTTTCTCTCTTCACAATTTACGCTCATAATACTCGATGGAAAGGCATGTTAATAGCACGTAATTATATACTGCGATTCAATCGAACGATCGAATGATCGCGGAGATAAACGAAGAACGGAATAATCTTCGTGGCATTAATCTAGAAAGGATTACACGGTTCAATATTTCAATCGATCAATCAATCGAGTTCGACAGGATTATGTAACAAAAATTGAAATATTCCATTAAATAACTTTTTATATTATCGCTCATAAAATAAAATAGTAAATAATAGAAACTAGAAATTCTGATTCAAGATTTGCTTCGCTTAATTTGCAGCGAAATAAACAAGAAATTATTATTTTTTTATTTTTGCGAAGGATGAAGCATATATATTTTTTTAATTTATTTCATAAGAGACAAAAATATTTTATGTTGAAAAACTCGACATAAAAAGACAACAAATGTTAAAAAAATAGCAAGTCTCTTAAATTTCAAGGAAGCAGCAGCTTTTCTAGATGTTATTGTATTTTCATGTATAATTTTTCTTGTCTATTATTACTTTTTCTGTATTTTTACAATAAATGTTGCTTCTATTTTTTTTTATTTGTATATTTGTAAAAGTGAAACCGTTTTATCAAAATTTACCGAAATACGTGTAAATCACATTTGTGCTTAGATCCTTCATCGTCCTCGCTCTAGCTGGATATATAAAATCATCGCAATCTCTTCCTTATTTCAATTTCACGGTTCGAAAAATTCTAGTCGAAACCGGCACATCTTTTCGGCGCGACTGACGTCAGAAATTCTATACGTTGCATATGGAAATTGATTGATAGTTCAACATTTTCCGGAACTGTTATTATAGGTGTGTGGCAACGAACCGCTCCCATGTGGATAATATACGTGCTAAGATAACATTGTTACCCAGGTAGCAACCGATAATCGATGCCCCGATATGGTAAACTGCCACTTTTTTATTAAAGCAGATGATCGGTACAGCGTGTCATTCAGTCGCGTGCTGCAATTGCCTAGCTGATGAACATCAGTGATAAAATCGTTCAAGTTTATCCTGTGCGGTAGAAAAATATTATCACTGTGCAGCGAGCTTTTTTCGTGACATTTATTTTCAGATAGACGTAATAAAAATGTTTTACAATTATATTTAAAACTCAGTATCAGGCTACTCCTTGCAATCTGATGAAGTGAACTGCCATGCTCATGAAATATTGACATTTAACGATACATCAAGACATGGAGTATTTTCCATTTGATGACACAAGTCAACAGAAATCTCTGTTACTGATTGAATACCAAGATAGAATGATGTTTGTGTCAACTGGTATCACTAAATGGAAAATACCTATAATATGGAGATAACCTGTAAATTGTGGCTTCTTGAAGAAAACACCTGGGAGCCTCAAAAGAATTATATATAAAATTATCATCTATAATTCTATATTACGAGAACTAGTTAATAAAGAACAGATATTTTGCTGACATTTGCAGACATTATATTTTTTATACCACTCATTATTGATTTTTTAATATCTTTATTTTCCTGCTATTTTTCATCATCTTTTTTTCTCTGATCTGGGAAAGGTCATCCTAGAATTTTTTTTATTTATTTCCGCGTCAAGCAGTAAAATTAATTAGAAACACGTTCTTTAATATTGAAAAATTGTCTGTTATAAGACAGAGAATTGAAACAAGTAAAAACTGTAGGGAACTATTTTGCGACGATAAAACTTGAATGAGTCTCAAAGTTCGCCGTTGTCGACGTTATCAATCTAGCCATGGTGAATGATTACCGCAGCGGAGCGTTTTTTTACAGGAGGCCACTTTAATCTTTGTAACACGCGGTGCGACGTGACCTCATACGACGACCACTCCCATCCTCCCTAGCCCTGCAGGTTTCGTTTCTCTTCCTTCCTCTTTTTCCGTTCCCGTTCGGTGCCACTCGACAAATTGATTAGGCGTGCAATTTTGCGTGCCAAGCTGCCGCCCGCCTCCCAAGAAAGTTCTCTGCGAGGAATTTAGAAGCTCGAGGGACACGCCACGACCCGTGGCACGACCGCGTTGACTTTGACTTCTATTTTCGACACTTGTCTCTGTATAAAGTATCCTTTTAAAGAAACTTATACGACAGAAGTCACACCGATCAAATAGATATGTTCGACAGAAAATTTTTAAGTAAATATCTTTTTTTACATGATTTCAATTTATTGTTATAAATTGCGATCTGAAAGTCTGTCTTGAATAGAAAAGACAAGATTCGTGTAAAATTTCAAGTTTAAAGCTGATGCGACGTGAAAGTTCTAAAAGTCTTCCTGATGTCGAGAATATTAATGCCATTTTTGACTTTCCTTCTCATCCAAGCGTATATTATAGGAAGTATAAAACACGCAAGATAATTAAGTCGAGCCAGGGAGATCAATGAAATCAATGTGAAATCTGAAAACATATGAGATAAAGAATTACTTAAATTTCACAATGATATATACGGCACACTTTTCATGTCTGAGCGAAATAATGCGGCAACTCGCATTCTATGCATTCTATGTTTATAAATACAGATAGTATAAGGAACTTAGAACTTTAACTTCGCTTAATTACAGTGTGACACTAGTAATTTCTTGCTCTAATGATTTGTTGTCAGAGAGAATTTCCTTTTGCGGAACAACATAAATCTCTGGTAATTAAAGAGAACGAGAAAGGGAAGGGATTTATATGCTAGAAGAATTAAGATAGAGGATGCTTTCCATTTAGTGACACAAGTCGATACAGATACATCGTTCTCTTTTTCTTAATATTTAGAGAACAACAACGATAAAACGACATTTGTGTAAACTTGTGTCACCAAATGGAAAGCACCTATAGATGTTTTGAACTAAAGAACTTAATACAAGCTGTAGAAATAATGAGAAATGTATGTGTATATTCAAAAATATTAAGAGTTTATATCGAAGATTTAATCTAGAATATATAGATTGTGAATCTTTCAACGTTAATAGTCTTTAAACTAAAGAATCTATACTATTCAGAACATAATTAAATTAGCATTTGCGATATCACGAATTTGTGAAGAGTGTAATACGTGAAAATAGACTCTTATATAATAAACATTTTTTAAATAAAAATTTATGATCCATCCAAGAAGGTATTGATCTCTAAAATAAGCTTTTATGCTAATTTATTTAATTGATACTTGCGCCGAAATCATTTCGATAATTAATACCTTAAATAAATGTAAAATTCATGCAATAGAAATTTTTCTAGATTGAATGATTTTTTTCTAAAAAAAGTAGCATACTCGATAAGACGCTCTACACTTCCTTGGCTTACAATCCGGGATGTCGAGAACCAGCTCAAGTGGCTCGTAAAGCGGCTTATCTTACTGCTAGGTGAAAGGCACGGGTGCGAATGGAAGCGAGAATAGGGTGAAGAGACGGTCGTGATCAATAACTGATAGTCAATTATAATTTATGAATATATTTCTTAACAGAATTAGATCCATTTCGAATTGCAGCAATCAGAATATGTAATAAATTTACATCACTTTGCAAAAAATCATATAGCAATTTGCATAAGAAGAATCTTTAAAGCTTAAAAATTTCACTTTCAAAATTCCATTAAACTTTTTTTTTGATGCTTCTGTGAGGCCAAGTGATGCTATTTCCAAGTCGTTCAGAATTTACAAAAAAGATTTTAATATTGAAATTATACGTGAAGTTAAAAAAGAATTCGTTTCAACTTTGCTTAAGATTTTCTGAAAGTTAAAAACATTTTTTTCAATGCTTAATTTAAAGTGGCTTTTTAAATATTATTAACAAATGTATTTATATAGTATTATATAAAATATACAGTATTTTGATTCCTATTAAAGAAAATAAAAAACAAGAACTTAATTAAAAAAATTGATTTAATTATCAAGCTCATTAGAGATACAATTTTCTAATTAAGTTCTTGTTTTTTAAATGAAAAATTTTTTTATGCTGCGAAAAATATTTGAAAAATTGAGTTGAAGAGAAGCGGTATTTAAATGTATTTCCTTCTTTATTTCCTATTCTCTCTTTTTTGTTTCAGGCCAAACAACGTGCCTCCGTAAAATGGCTCCTGTCGAAGGCATACAACAATCGAGTGCCAGAAAAACTTCGCGACCCCTATTATCGTGATCATGAGGTAAGCTTGTTTTTTTACAATGCTTTGTTAACGAATTCTTTTACATTTAAAACTTTAAAAAGTTTCTGAGTTTCATGAAATACATTTTATTAATATTAATAAAATTTTACATTATATGTGTGCTGTGTATAATTACAAATTGAAAGTAATTTTTGAAATAATAAATTTGCTATGGAGAATTGTATAAAGCTTATGATATGTATTTACAATTTTAAGAGAGTTTCGTAATAATGCATATCTATAAGAAAATGAATTTTTCTTAACAAGTAGGAAAGATCTATTTTCTCACAAACAAATTCTATTATGATTTTTTTACCTACATTGATTTTATTTACAATCGATAGTGTCTTGAAATCTTACTTTGTAGTTTGTAGCACACGTCATTATTTCGAAAGAAAATATCTGTTTTCTCACAAACGAATTTTATTATGGATTTTACGCATTGATTTTTTTACAGTTGCTATTGCGATTGGCTTCCTTTCATAACGATATCAATAAATTTTTCTTTTTGCTTCAAAGTATCTTGAAACACTCTACTTTGTAATACACATCATTATTTCACGGAGAAAACAATTCTCTTTCGTCGTGAAAGGCGGTGCTGGAAAATTATTAAAGTATCTATGCAGCTAGAAATGCTAATAATGCTTTTGCCAGTACAATATCGCGTTGGCTCCGATGAGAACGAAGGAAAGTGGTGTTACAGATTACATTGTCAATAGCTTACTTTACGCTACTTCGGGAACTCACAGAGAAAATGTAGCTGAGACTTCCATGGTTGAAGTTCCGTGAAACTTTACGAAAACTGAACTTTATGCTCTCCTCCCACGAGGATGTCTGTCATCAATGTCTGTTTATATGAAATGTATTCAGGGAAAGCTGTTCAAAAGAGAACCTGATTTATACACTAAGAAAAAAATATAATAAATTTTAATAAAATATTTATTTGAATGGTGCCAACTAAATATTTACTTGCAGTAAATAAATATTTATCCAATCATCAAAAGAAATGATAATTAAAAAATTAATTTAATGATTCTTGTACTAAATAAATATATCTTTGTATTTAGTTCACATTATTTAAACAAATAATTTATTAAAACTTAGTATATTTTATAATGTAGAATGTGCACTAGAAAAAGAATCTGGTTGCATTGATTGGAATTCTGATTGAAAATAAACGAATCAGAATTTTCTGATTGAATTATAATTTTATTTGATATAATCAGAATTCTGACTAATCAGAATCTTCTGATTTGTTAATTTTTAATTAGAAATTTTTCTCAATATATCAGCTGTTTTTATTTTCTATAAATAGTCATTTTCTATAAATTTGTAAATTGCTTTTAAAACACTCGCTGTTCACGATGACCAAATGATACTACAATATGATATATTAACTCTGAACGAGTCATGACGAGATTTTGTTAGAATCTGCTCCTTGAAGATATGGATTGACTCAACTTGAGATAGCTCGAATATTCTCGTGAAATAAATGTCGAGACATGTGAAAAATGCTTTCCTTTTCTGTGAAATGCACATGTGTAAGAATTACGTCAATACTTTCTATTAAAAGTTTCTCTGAAAAATACGGAAGTCAGAATATTTGAACGTAGAATTTTTTGCTTTATATTAGGTATTATACAAGAATATTTTATGCTATATTTTCATATTCTTTTGTGTTTTCTATCTCTTCTGAGTTTTTGATAAAAGGGCAGCTGTATATATTTGTACATTTGTCACAAAAGAAAGTCTAGATATTTTTGTAATGTCCCAGAAGAAGCATCTTTTTTTTTTGAAGTCAAAGTTTGAAAATATTTCCGTATTTTGAAGATACGCGATCTTTACGTAAATTTCTCGTAATCATAAAAGCGCTTTTTGCTTTTTATGATTATGAAAATGTACATGTTCGTAAAATAAGGAAGCTTAAATATTCTCATGAAATAAAGACGAACAAGGCATTCAGGGAACTTACACAGCTGCAGTTTAAGGATTATAAATATTAAACGAGACTTAGAAAAGAAACTGAAGATAAACTGCAATGTAACTACTTTTGTACGAAGATGAGTAACGATCGCCGACAATATTTTTACTTCAAATTTTTCGTTCGTTTCTTTGCGCACCGACAATATAATTATATTTATTAAATCGACAGTACGCTAGGAATCCTGGTGCTTACTATCTTTCAATTATCTCTGCTTCGCGTATTTTTTATCGTTTGCTCAGTAATTTCGCACAAAAACTTTTACAGATCTTCTTTTTGATATTTCGTTCTATATTGTAATTTTCTTGCGCGAAATGAACATTCCTCGCTTCAGCGTTGATCTAAATGCTGCTTGTTTAATCTAACAGAATCTACGTTAAAATAATATGTTACAAAATATTATTTGAATGCGAACTTAGTGTTTCGGAGTTGTTTGATTTTAAAAATAATTAAATTAGTTTTGCCCAAGTAAATTTTAGAAAAAAAAATATTTTTCTTATTTAAAAAGGAAACAAAGTTCTACTATTTTTATATGTGTATATTTTGTTTTACCTTACACTCTTATGGTTGTAAATCTATACATAAATGAGATAACGAATTATGCAATAAGCAATATAATAGGAAAATAATAAGTAGAACTTTATATATAAAATTTCAATTTACTTGGTTCTTCGTTCTTTATTATTCATACTTCGTTCTTTCTTCATTGTTCTTTGTTCTTTCTTCTTCATCCTTTCTTTTTCGTTCTTCGGTGTCTACAGTCTTTTTTGCTTCAATTCGCTTTCTATAGAAGTCTTCATGGTGGATTCGAAGTATCTGATCTTGTCGGCTACCTCGGATACTGGATGCTACTTGAAATAATGCTTTCGCATCCTTCGGCACGAATACAGTCATCGCAAAAAGCGAACAAAAGATTATTATGAAGACAAGGTCGTTCTTCCCCTCCGTTTTCTTTGAACTCGATCATCTGTGGCACTTTCACTGTGCTAAGTTCTCTAGACAGAAAAATACTTCAATGATTCATCATTATAAATATCATTTATCATTGAAAACGCTAATCATATAATTATTGACGCATAAAAAATTTATAGAATAAAAATATTTTTGGATCTTTTGTATTATGCGTAAAAAAGTGTATAAAAAGATTTTATATATATTTGTCAAAATATATTTAGAATTTATGTATTAAAAATCTTTAAAATATATCTAGATTTAATACGATGATTTATCTAGTTTTAATTGTATATAAAATCGCACAATTATATATTTGCGGAATTATTTAAATCTAAACTAATTACGTGGACATAGTGGTTTTGGATTTAATTTGTATAATTATCTGTAATTTTAGAGATAAATTTTGATGTTTACAGGAACAAGAGCATTTGAAACCGCAAATCGTACACGCGCTTTCCAATGCGGAGCTCTACTGCCTCGCGCTGGCCAACATATACTCGGATCCTAACTATCACAATCAGAATCACTACGGGATCCTGCAAGCCTTGGCCAGGAAAGGTGTCTACGTCGCGGAGCAGAACAATACTCAGCTCACCGAAACGATCCTCATTCAAAATTCACCACTTAAGATGGTAAGCTTACCAGTGCACATGTAACGTGCACACAGTCTATACGTTTCCTCTTCTCCAAGACATTTGAACATCTTCAAGTGTCGAGAAGTGGCATTCTAAAATTGCTAGAAAATATTAGTATAATTTATCCATGATATCTTCAAGAAGCTGTATAAATCCTATTACATAAATATCTTATTACGACAGATCGTGTAAAATTATTTTAATCGATGCTAATAATATCTTTGTCTCGTTACAGTCCGCGCATATGGCTGTGATAGAAGGCCTGATGGTCTTGTACGCGAAAGAGGTGGTGACGGGAGACCGGGTGGTCTCGGCGATACAACGGTTCGATCCCCAGGCCGAGGTGGACGTGCCGTCGGATCATGAGAAGGGTCTCTTGCTCTGGATCAATCACGCGTCGCACGCGCTAATTGCCAAGATTCAGAGCGAGGAGGGTGGTGGCGACAAGACGCGGCTGCCTGAATTACCCGCTGCCAAGGACTTTCAATCCCTTTGCGACGGTGTCGGCCTGGCGGCTGTTGTAGCTTTCTACTGTCCTAGCGAACTCAATTGGATGGAGATTAGGGTGTCGAAAAGACCTTCGGTAGCGGACGCACTGCACAATCTCTCTCTGGTGCACGCGTTCTGCGTCAAATGCCTGCCCTACTCGATTTTCCACATGCAGCCTGATGACGTTACGTACATGAGAGGGTGCGTTAATCTAATTAAATTCGAAATTACACTTGTATCGCGCAGTGAATATTTTACAAATCTCACAATATATTGTATTGATTTTGAAAAAGATAATTATTAACTGTCCTTTTCCTTTTGATTATTCTTGTCATAATTTTTAGGTCGATGAAACAGAATCTAGTGGTCTTTCTGGCTGACATGTACAACGTCTTGGAGATTCATCCAGCGAAATGCGTGCGCTATCCTGGTGAGGAGCGGGCGATGCAATACCTAGATGGTACGTAGACATTTTACGATATGGAATGAGACTGTTTATTAGAAGCAGATTTGCGCGACAATATGTGGTATTCGAGCTATACTTCAATGAGAGCGAGAAAGAGAGAGAGAAAGAAAGAGAGAGGAGTTGTGAAAATTGGTGGTGGATAAATGTGATTGGTGGAGGCTGCTGTACACTGGACTTTTATACCCGTTCTATTATTTATTTTATTATACTTTCCTCCATGAAAAACCTATTACTATTGCAGGGAACGTACATTATATGTAATTTTGTCCTAAATTACACAGATTAATTGAATTATATTGAATTACAAATTAATTCAATATACCGTGAAATAATTCGAATAAATAAATCATCAATACACTGAATATCAATGAGGAATGTTGCTTGCAATTGTAATGGTATCACGCTTTTTATCAGTGTCAATACACACACTCAATATCTCAGTCTCTTGATCCGGATTCTCCTCCCCGAGAGCAGCGACTAATTATATTATTTCCATTCGATACCAATTGACCTTTTTTGCGAATGCGAACAACAATGAGGTCGCCGCTGCAACGGGCAAAGAGATATGATATACCAGCCAAACTTACGAACTTACCTCCACACGCAGCACTTAATCTACAACTGTAATATTTCCATATATTTCTATGGCGTAACTTCTTGACGCTTGACACGACAACGCTATCCTCGCCTTCTTCTTTCGTCAACTTCCGGTTGCCCATGAACCACATGATACGGCGCGGCGACGGGTGCAGCCTGCCCGCGCAATAGTCATGGCGTAGCTCATAAGAGAAGCCTGCCACAGTCTATAGCTCCGATACCTGATCTGAGAAGCAACCTCTCCGTAACCGCGCCAGGTTTCACAGGTATCCACACGTTACCACACAAAGAATCAATCTCATATCTAGGTGGTCGTCTACCTTTGCGAGTCGCGTTTCCGTGGACTGATATTGCCGTTTTTTAGAATGTCTCGAAGGGATCAACGACTTAATCGCCTTATCGCGCTGCCATTCATGTATGTAGGTGTGCCAGGTCACCCACATTTAATGCGACGCACACTTATTCTGTTATAGACAGTGTATATAATAAAATATTTGTGATCGTTGCTAATATCAAGCTTAATTAAGATCTATTGTACTACTAAATTTTAAAATTAACGGTAATATTTAGTTTTCATCAATCTTTTAGTATGATCAACATTATCTCATCACGCGGATATAAAAGTGTGCATATAGAAAAATTTTACTTCTTGTATTGCTTTGGAAAGAAGTGTATCATTATTGAGAAATTAAGCTATTATATTGTTAAAGTTCTGACGCGACATTTTATTTGGGAAAAGAGAAAGGCAATGCGTTTTATCGATAATTTTTATGTATATTAACTAAAGAAAAATCATGTGATCCCGTTGGACTAATCTCTTAGTGAAGTTCATAAGTTGCGAGGAGCACTGCTTGTTACTAATCACATATTGTTTGCATTTCATCCAATCACGATCGTGAGAGCATAGAGTGATATATATATATTCCCCCGGGAACAGACCTGCATGTCAAAATCGCATAATTTTGCGACACGATTGTTCGCTGCTTGCCGCTTGCATTGGATCATTGGCTTCATCTTATGTTTTTTTTTGCATGAAATTTTGAGTCGGTGCGCTGCTGCCAGTCACTGTCAACGAGAAAGATGAGAACTTCGTCGTCATTCATTAAGATCCACTCCATGTTTAGTTAGTATGATTACGTTGCGACGTTGTATTCATACTTGGTTCGTTTATGGTGTCATTTGGTTTATGGTTTATCATGTATCGAGCTCTTTGTTTCACGTTATATTCATTTTCAGATTGGTTCGACACTACGACAAAAACTAGAAATTAGAATATTAGTTTATTAGAATATTAGTGACTCGATGTATATCTTCGTATTTTCTCTCAAAATATATGATATAGACTTTTCTGTTAACATTTTAATATTTAGGATTTGCACAAATTGAAATTCTGCGTTATTGTTCCATTTCTGTCGGTGCATAGTCTCATATTGAATTCGTTTTGCTGGTAATACAAAACAATTTACGTGAGAATTTCACATTGTGCCCTTAAATTAATTTGTTGTCTAAGCTTTATTTAACGTAAAGTGTAAATTTATTATCTGTTGAGCATTTTACTGTTTCTACTTGAATATAGTTTGAGTGATGAATGAACCTCTTTATATAATTAAATAAAAATGTAGAGGCAATCGATTCATTATTATATTATCTTTCCAGTTACGAAGTCAACATCAGGCAGTACCGTGAAGAAGTCGCAATCTTTGCAACAAACTGCCGAGAGTCACCCGTACGATGATAGGTGCGTTGTCATATTTAACGGTTCAAGAGCATTCTAAAGCAAAATATATGCCTGTGCATACTTACAGAATTTATTGATAAATTTTGCAAATATAAATTTTTTATTTTTTCAAAAAGAATACATTATAAACATCAATTATAAAAATAAGAATTAACAAATTAATTTATTTTGTAATATCTATTATTGCACATTGTGACCGTTTATTTACAAATTACTTAACGAGTCTTATATTTTCTTTAATTTACAAATATAATTGCATCTTATAAAAATTAATTTATTGTATACATATATTTGGTAGAAATCAAGTTCAGTTTTTCTTACAGGCGCGCAGGTAGCGAAGAGAGTTTCATAGTGCATCGTGGCAAAGGCATTCCCACGCTGAGCTCCGTAGCCGATGAGAAGTCCATTAGAACTGAAGCCGCTGGTCGGCCGAGCAATTGGGAAGAACAACGACGGAGCTCCTATGCCGGACGTCGGTCAAGGCGGAACAGTATCACGGATGATTCTCAATTGACTATCGAGAACTTCGGTGGGTCTCAGGTATGTAGCTGCGCAGAGCGACGTCATTTCATTCGTCGTCGCACGGAGAAGACTTTGGCGCGGAAGGATTATCTCGAGCGGACAAGCAGTATGATCGAGTGATTTCTTTTATCCAGGATAATTTACACAATTTTGGTAGAAATCCGGATAAAGAGCTAGGCGCGCACACTGGCAAGCGCAACGCTACCGAACCAACGTTGCCTGCACGATCCAGCGTCCAAGATGTGTACGGTAGCGGTGTGCAGCACATAATCGCGGACAACGGTTACAGCGGCAGCGAAGAGCCGATGAGGCTGCGACGACAGGCGTCCAACAGCAGCCTAGATAACGTCGCTCTCCGGCAAATCTTACATTCCAACGTAGAGAACGACAGTAGTACGGATGGTAGTAGTGGTGGTGGTGGCGATGTCCCCACGAAGTTCGCCAGCTTTGCGAATTTGAGTAGGCAGAGCTCAGAAAAAGGAATCAATTTCACGTATACGGAACAAGATGACGCTAAATCGAACAGGAAACATGGCCAGAGTAATGGGAATAGTGAAAAGAAAACAACGTTTGCCACTCTGCCAAACACAACCACGTGGCAACAACAGAGCAGTCAGCAATCGCAGCAGATGGAGCAACATTCAATTGGTAAGTTATTAAAGTGAGAAGAAAACTCATTTGGAAAGTTTCAAGTTGATTAGAAAAAATGTTAGTATAATATTTGTAAAATATAACATTTATAGAATGTATACATATTCATGTATATTATTAGCAAGACAAGAGAAAGTGTAGCATTTAAGAATATATTACTTAATTTTATTCATATCTAATTTTGGAATAACTGAAAATACTCTGTGGTGTTAGATGAGAACGGCGGTAATACCATAATGGCCTCGCAGCTGAATAATATACGACTGAAGCTCGAGGAGAAGCGACGACACATAGAGAACGAGAAGCGAAGGATGGAAGTTGTTATGTCGAAGCAACGGCAGAAAGTGGGAAAGGCTGCTTTTTTGCAAGCGGTCACGAAGGTAAAAACATATGGGATTATTTCAAATGTATTCCATATAATTTAGAAAGTCTGCATAATACACATTGATCTACTTGAACATCATTATCATTAATTCTGCATACATATCATCAGTTCTACATATACATCATTGTTATAGTCAGAATTTTCAATAATTTGTTTCTTTGATAAAAGATGTAAAGTAATACGGAAATATATAATTCAGTACGAATTACGGGGAATGTTGTGGATTTTGTCGACACAACATTAAGGTCTGCCATGCTGTGTGACAGCTACTTTGCGAATCTAGGCACGGGTGTTTAGTATAGAGCAAATAGTATGAAGACTACTATATTTCAGAAAGTACAGAGTTTCTTTTTCTTCCGCCTTCTATTTACGTTTTTCATATCATGTTTTTCTGATTGTAATTATATCCTGATTGTTTAATATTGCTTGTACATATAAATGAATCTATATCAGTTGAATTTGTAGTATTATTGGCAAAGTACATGAATGTACAATATATGATTGCTCAGTTTTAGATAACAATCAAAATTTTGTTTTTAACTCATCTATTTATTATTTTATCTAGATATATTCGTGTAGATATCATCATTTTGATCGCTTTGGTTGTACATAGTAGGACCTTATCTCTCCTCTTTGTTTGCGCCTTAAATAATCTCGGTTGCCATGTCGTCTTAACACAATTCTCTTTCTGACATTTCAGCTGTACTTGATGGTAAGCGCATGCTCTGATGCTAAATTTTTGCATTATAACAGGATTGAACATTTCTATTTAAATCACGTTTCTGTTTATGCAGGAATTTTTTCTGTTTGCCAAGTACAATCTTTATTTAGCACATGTTATTTTTTTTAAAACGACATCGATATCTTGGAACTCGAGCAATTAATATCATTCAGTTATTTCAGTTGAGCATGAACTAACTTATTTTTTTTTTTAATATTGTTACAATTAAACTAAAATGTTCTTGTGCGAGTTTATCTTTCATTTTTTCCTTAATGTTCGTTTTCCAAAGTATTGATAGAGTTATGAATGTGTATTGATTTTTAAACAGTGTTTGAGGAAGATTCTTAGGTTTGTTTTGATTGGAGCACTGCATGTTGTTTTACGAACATATTTCCATCGAAAGAGAGTAGTGAGTTTATACGTATGTAATATAGAAGAAAGTTTCAAGTCGAATTATTTTTTAGTAATATACTAGTCAAATCGCGTGTAACTATCGTATTATGATCCTTTTATGGTATCAATACTAGATATGCCACATGAGTGAAATTATATATACTTAATTTTAATTATATATCACATGTGTGAAGTTATATATACTTAATTTTAATTATATATATCCACGTGTGCACACAAGATTAATTTTTTAAAATTATATTTACAATTGCAAACGAGATAGCGTGCTCTTAGTTTAAGTCAATTGTTGTTTAATTAAGTATGATTTGCGAGCCACTCTGAATGGGCTTTGGCACTTAACGCGCTTGAGTGTAACGTGACCTTTGGCCGCGGGGAGACACTCGGCACCTTGGTGATTTGGTGGTGATTTGGTGGCGGACTCTGAGTACTTAACAAGGCACGCTGGTTGGGCTGGTTGCAGGGTAAGGTTAAATCTCCCTCTTCGTCAACGTCCGGGGGGGACAGTCCGGCCGAGACAGTCGGTCCCCCCACTCCTGTAACCTCCGGATCTTCCGGGGCGACTCCGACGAGCGTTTCCGAGGCGTCCTCTGTACCCCAACAACCCCTTCAAGAAAAACCACAGAGACCCTTCTCGCTCAAGGTACGATATCACCAGCAAGTGTTTCAGTGTAGGCGAGAAACTCCGTAATAACTTATCGTTTTTTTCTAGAAGATTATTTATATTACGCGCTTATGTGAATGGCTTTCGAACATCGATTATTACGTTCTTTTTCTTTCGCCCCTGTTGTAGTGAAAGGACTCAGTAAGAAAAATGATTATCTTCCCTCTCAGTGTTTAGCAATTACGAAACTAAACGGCCGTGACAATGCTACAAAATGTACAGCCGCTTTGTATATTCACCCCTTTAGTAGAAATTACTTTTGATAAAACGGATCATATTATTTTGCTTCTTGACGCTTCTTTTACATAATAGAGGAAAACGAAACCTTGCATCTCAAGATGATTACGACAGATGTATTTTATGATGTGCAGACCCACTTAAGCATTCGTTAATACCGTACTCCTGGTACGCATGGTGCAATACTAAACACTCCCTGGAAAATAGTATCGCATTTATTTACTCGCACTTATATCTGTGTCGGTGACGGTTATTAGATATAAGTCAATATTTATACGATTTCTCTCTTCTACTAACAGAACATTTTACATTCTGATATGTACATATATTTGTCTAATTGATATCTAATTAGTTGTGTTACGAAAATTTAATTTAAGTTTCCGCTTCTAATTATGCTGTTACTTACGGCTGTTGCGGCGAATCATTTAAATTCGATACCCGTAATTAAAATGCACCTTAAATTAAAGTGCCGAGAACTTAGGGAAATTCAAGAAGACTTGACGTAGTTACATAAGATATTGATCAAACAGACGGATAAATGTTGCATGTATAGATAGTGTCACCAAGTTTCCGGCCATTAACTGGATCAAGAATCTGTCTGTGGATCGTCAATTATTACGAATGTAATAATTGACAAATTAAATCATCATCATGTTTTATTCGTACTTATTTCGGGTAAATATTTGTAAATAGTATTAAATGATAAATAATAAGATATTTCATGCCGTATAATGCAAAACACAAGTGCCAGGCCTCAATGACAACACAGTTCACAGATTTGTACATCGTCTGTTTTACTTATTTTACTTATTTTAATTTTGTAGATTTTTTTATTCTCGTACAAAATATATCATATATATAATGATAAGCGTATATGTACACTTTAAACAACATGATTAGGAAAAATCCGAAACTTATAATTATTTTATAATGAATATAATTAATAATTTTTCTATATTTAAAAACAAAACGCTAAACAGAATCGAATTATTTTCTCTATATTGAAATATTACACACAAGTACGCATTTGTAATACCGTAATATCTTTCTGAGGCATTCCATTTCTCTGATAATGAATATAGGAAATTAGCGAGGATGTACGGGATGTCGAGCACAAGTGGCTGGAGCACGACGGTAATGCGCCATTCATCGAGACCAGACGTACTCCAGATATCGAGAATATGGATCCCGAACAGTATCGTCAATCCATAACACAGTTAGTATTCGTGCCTGTAAAAATTACAGTGGAATTACAAAAACTATCGTTATGCAAAATGTTGTTTATTGTAGTATGAACAATAGCCTGAGCGAAATTCAAGCGGATATACAGCGTTTGGCAAACCAGCAGAATCAGATTCAACAGCAGCACCTGATGTCGCAGCACCAGAAACAGATGCAGCAACAGCTTCAGCAGCTGCAGAGTCTCAGTCATCAGCACATGCAAGTGCGTGTCGGAAGTACATTCTGCGTCGCGTCATGTTATTAATTTATTAACTTTTTTTTTTCAAACTTTTATTTTACAGACTTACGGAATGCCACCAATGAATCCGTCAACGCCTAGACTGCAAGATTCGCAACAATCGCAGTTTTACTTACATGATCAGCCGCAAGTGCAGAGGAGAATGTGGGGTCAACCGGTACCCACCCAGAGTTTGGCCAATGAAATGGCCGCAGTTGGTTATCAGCAGTCTATGGATTCGCGATTTAGTCCTCAACCTATCGGTACATAATTAAATTAATTTAGAATAAATAAAATATTAAGAATAAAACTTCAAAGAAGCTACGCGGTTTACGATTATTTCTCTAGTTTGATTGAACCTTGTTAAACACCAACGTTTCGTAAATATTGCAATCTGATTTTGATAAAATGAACTACAATGTTAAGGGTCGATAAGAGTGACAAGTCCATTTACACCTGGTACTATCTAACTTTGCAATTTTATTTTTAAAACCATAATTAATAAAATTATATGCTCTTTATGTACGGTGCAGATACGTTTTCATGTTGATATTTTATCTCCTAGAAGTAATATTACGTCTTAAAACTATTTTGATTTCTTTTTTTTATGAAGCTGCGAAGGCTTATACAGAGCCGGATTTTACAAATTGATTCTTAACAATTTTTATTAATAAAATTGTGTGCACTTTAACTGCACTATTGTACATATCGGGTGAAATATCAGAATAAATTATTTTGCCCTTTTTTCCCAAAAAATCGCTCTATACGTCTTCAAGAGCTTCCCTGAATATCGCAATAAAACGCGATTTATGTAATATTTTAGCCATAATTTCAGCATAAAGAAATCGTCTTTGACTTGATCAAGACACAAAAATAATTCACAAACTACGTAGCTTCTTTGAAGGAAATACCCATGGAAGTCTCAAAAGTGTTAAGAACAATACAAATAATAAAATCTATAGTTAATTTGGTATTAATAAAAAATACATTAATATATTTAATTAATAATATTCTGTGGCTACTATTATATATATATATATTTTTTTTTTACATACAAATGATATAGAAAATTTTCCGAAAACTGCACGAATCTTAAAGCAATTTTCTTTAACCAAAAAGCTTGCCTGTAGAATTTGCTTTTAGAGATTGAAAATTAACGGCTGTCGTATTTCCCTTTTTTAATTTTAATACGCTTCAGTAGATTATTTCTGAATGTTTTTTCGTAGCTTATCAGCCGGACATGCGCATGTATGCGGATCCAACGAGGACTTGGGTCGCGCCGCAAAAGGGATTCGTTTTGCACGACACTCAGGAACCAAGGTACCTCAACGGGGATCATAGTCTGTGTAATAATCAAATGAGCCACCCTGGTCCGGCCAGCGTCTTTCCAGCGTCTTCGGCGCTTTTCAACCAAACACAAGCCACATCTGCTAGTCCACAACATCGTAACACTGTAAGTGTTCTTCGTGATTTTATTTTTCTTTTAAATCTCTTCTGCATTTTTTTTACACACTTATTAATGATCCAAATCGCGTACACAGCGAAAATTATATTATTTCTACTACTGTACCGTTTTATCACTCGCTCGTCACAAATCTATTTATAGTAAATAGCTTTTCTGCATACAATGCACACACGCACGTGATTGTATCAATTTATTACGAAAGACAGAAAGACGGGCGAGACTGAATGCTGCACCCACAGCAGCGATTATTGTGTGAGTGAAAAGTTATAGCTAAACGTTCGCGATGCGTGCGCCGATCATCAGCTCGATTTGGTCACTTCAATACAAAGGATTGGCCCCAAGCGAGTACGTATATGCATGGGAACCAGTTGATGATGTAATGCACGCTTATAGATGCTTGTTCTTGACACCCAACATGGCAGACACTACCCACACTGGCCAGTCTTAGCGTCTAGACGATCGTATTCGGCTCGGAAATTTACACCTCTAGTCTTCTCTCAAGTGTTTTGTAAATTTAAATAACATGTATTTCCTCAACTCGGCCGTCGCAACATCGCGCGATTACTTCACTAAGGTTTGCCTTGACTGGTTTGCCTTATTTTTATGCATTTGCGTTTTGCTTTTAATAAACGCGGAAAGAAAATGATCATTGAATTATGTGAGAAAACAATGTTGCGACAATGGTACCGTGATAGTGTTTTGTAGATATTTCAAATCTGTACGTCAAATACACGAATTCATTCGTTCTGAGTCTTGTGTATTTTATATTATATACACTCTCTGTTGCTGTTAGACATAATGCTGGGTCTTTTATCATCTCTTTTTTTAAGATTCTGTACAATTTGTACGGAAAGATTATATTATTTTATCAAAACTATTGTTTTATCAAAACAATAAAATATGTATTTATCTTGTTCTCTTATACAATCATATTTTTCTATCTTAGGTTCATCGAATAAGTCAGTTAATTAGCGAAAGTCCTGAACCTAAGAGATCAACTGTACATCACATCCCAATCTCATGTGAAAGCCCGACGGAGAAGAGGCAAGCTTTACATACTCCCGTACCAGCTCCGCCTGTCGATGACATGAAGCCCCAAAATATATCTTTTATTGGTAATGAAACTTTTTTAATTCTTTTGCGATTATATGAAAATATCACTTTGTACGTGTTTTTTAAATTATATTAATGTAAAAAAAGCTTTAAAAAATCATCAACATCTTTTCTTAAATCTCTTCTTTTTATTTCGAAGGCAACGATGACGATATCGCACAGGGTATTCGCGGTTTGAACATCACGTCGGGTAGTCGTACGTACAGAATACCATCGCCAACTAGACCCACGATATCGCAGAATTCTTTCCAACCTCATCCGTCATTGAGGGAGACGTCGCGTTCAGTCACTCCGGATGTTACGCCTCTCGATTCCACGGACCCGAACGAGAAAGGATTCTATATCTCCTTCGACAATGACGCTCCTAAGAAACCAAAACCGACCTTAAGAATGAAAAGAACGTCTCCTAAAAAGGTGAGCGGATTTTTAGTTACAAACGAATTTTCATACTCTTAATTCTATTCTTAATTATTTTATTATACTTCTCTCTTTATTTCATATTTGTTTATTTTGAATAGAATTTTACTATGTTTACAGTATTTTTTAAAAAGAAAGCAATTATTAAATAAACATTTGTTTTTCTTAAGGAACGAGGTATGTCGTCCTATATTGAGCACGAAGACTTTACAATGCACCCAGAATCATCTCCTGTTAACACGATAGAAAAGCAGAAACAAGTAGAAGCTCAGCGGGAATTGGAGCGGGAAAGATTGCGGCAAGCCGACGAAAGGGAACAGCAAAGACAAGAAATGAGGGACAGGGACCTTAAACGGGAAATGGAAAGGGAACGACAGAGGGAGAAACAGCGAGACAGTAGCACAGACAGCCGACACGCTTCTGGAGTTGGTCTGGTGATTGGGAATCAACTTACGAATCCCGATCCGGTATATATTACAATAATATTTATCATTCAAATAACAATAAATTCTGTATATAGTTACACATTTGTTTCTTTTGATTTTAGTTTTGTTTACTAAATTTTAATATATACATGTTCTAATCAAAATTCTTTATAGAATTGTATGGATGAAATGGAGAAGAAAAAGGAGAGGATAATGCTGATGTCACTTCAGAGAAGGCAAAGGCAGGAAGAAATGAAGGAAAGAAAGGAAATTGAGGCCCAAACACGTAGGGAGCAAGAGAAACTGAAGGTGGAGGAGAGAGCTCGCAAGAAAGAGGAGGAACGTCAACGGCGAGCCGCTATCTTAGAACACCATAAGGTGAAGAAAGCGATAGAGGAGGCAGAAAGAGAAGTAAGTGGTATTTTTAATGATATTAAATTAGCAGGAATAAATTTATAACGTAATTTTTATTGCTGTTTTTAGGGTAAAGTAATTGATAAGGAGCTTTTGAATGCAATAAATCCAGCAAAGTTACGTAACAAGACTGCAACCGCACGACCGCGGCCCAAAACAATTCACGGAGACGCTGGCGCAGTGTTGGATTCCGGGGCTCTTACACCTAGTCGCGGGAAGAAGGGTTCTTCTTCCAATTTAAGTACAGGTGAGATTGCCATTAAATTGCACTTGCAGAAAACGAATTATCTGTTGTAACGATCAATGCTTCTTGGGGATTAAGTATGTTGGCAGCTTGAAAAATAAGATTTAATATATTGATTGATACACAGATTTGAGAAAAAGAAAAAAATATGAAAAAAATGATATAAGTATATTCTCCGAAGAAGAAAAATTAAATCTCCATTTTCGAATTAATCGCCAAGAAGATGGATCTTTTTACTACTTGTGTCGCAAGTGCATTTCCCCGTTATAATAGCAATAGTCTCCTTGATGTTGTAATTTGCATTTATTCATTGCATGGCGAAGATTTTTACGATCAGAGCCGTTTTCTCTTCCGTCGTAGCGATATCATTCTTGCTTTTTTTTTTTTTTTTCCGTTATAATTGATTTCTTTTATGAATTTTCACCCCGACCACATGCTCACGAGCTCCAGATTTTCTCGTCTATGCTAGTTTATCGCCGCGTCAGTGGCTACTGTAAATCGCTCGATGAACCCGCAATCGCGCGATATTGACGCCAAACTAGAATAGTACAGAAAATACTGAGCCGATTGTTTTGCACTAACACACTTACTGTAGCGTCGCTGACCTCTCCAACGATGAGGCGAGACTACTACCGAGGCTCGCAGGATAGTCTCACGGCTGCTCACCTTGATGATCGACGTTGTTCCGGCCCTCTTTATCGGGGCGGCAGTCTCAGGGGTATGCACCACACACACTCTCTCACCGCGCTTTTACAGTACACATTTACAAATTTTTTCTTTTCTTAAAAAGTCTGGATACGTAGAAATATCTGCGCGATAAGTTATCTAATTAATTTTTTGTGCACAACAAAAGAAAAAGTAACGATACATCAATACTTTATGAATCGATTTAAACTTGAAATAAGATATTGTGCAGTAAGATTATATAGATCAAGAAAATTGAAACATGCTAATTCAAATTTAACAATAACAATGGCATTTAATTCTCTAAAGATATGAATCTTTTATACAGGAGAGAAATTAACTTTGAGGAATAAATGTGTATAATTGATAAAATAAGATATCTGTGTAATTCACAATATGTTTTTTCACAACAAAATTCATTTCACTGCACTTTTTTCCGTTTTTCAATTTAGCATGCTCTGTACCTTATTTATCAATATCTGTAACTCAATGTATAATTCATAGCAAGCTGAGAATTACTTGATATATCTATATATTTATAAGTAGTGTAAAACCTGCAGTAAGAATTTAAACTGATTGTAATAGAGATACCCCGTTTTTTTAGTATCTTCCGTAGATTCACCCGACGACGGTAGGGGTTCCTCGCCTTGCCGCAGCGTGAATCAGCTCGGTCGACGCGGCTCCTACAAGACCTCCAGAGGTGGGTTTGATGTTACTTACAGTTTAGCGCGGGAATGCCGCAGGCTCTGTACGATTGTTTGTTTCTTAAACGTTTGGCTTGACGAAAGTAGATTCATTGCAGGATGTTATCACACACTGGTATGGGCAGCTATAATCTTTCAGAAATTTACGCGATGAATGTTTGAATATTTCATTAGCCTTTGATTATCCCCTACGAGCGACTGAGCAAGGTCACGACACTTTGCGGGTATGATTGTTCCCCCGTTTTTTTTTCCAATTTTTTTTCAATTTTTGTCTTTAACTTTAAGTAGCGCCTTGTAGTGGACATCTTTCAGTTGGAACGCAACGTTGTTCTGCACCAAAAACTGCACCGGCCACTTCAGTTCTCGATGTACCCCCGGATATGGCTAGTAGTTAGATTCAATCCCTCTTTTTTAAGTCCTTACAAACCTTACCCGCGCCCGCTCGCTCCCTCAATGAGATGCGCACGATTGAGGCATCTCTCCCGCAACTTATTTAATCTCTTTGATCGTACATGGCGTTTTGAGTGTAACAAGGCAAACGTTGCGTTATTGCAGATGTGCAGGAGTCTCAGCAACAAGTTAGAGGCAGGCCTAAATACCAGACTTACCAAAACTTTAAGGGGAGAAAGTCTAATTCCCTGATGAATTTGTGCGGTAAGAAGCACCACAGTGACTTGGAAATACGTTCGATCTCCCTTCTATATCGTGCAACAGTCTCAATGTATCCCGTGTATATATATATATATATATATTACAATATGTATATCACAATGTCCCGAGATTTTTGTAGATCGAGTAGCACATATACACGCGCACTTACACTATGTACGTAGTGGCATGATGGCAGGCTGGAGAGCACACAGGTGGCAGTGGTACTTAATGACTCATACATTCGCACAACAATCATATGCATTTTTCCTTTTTTGTTATACGTTTGAGCAAAGTTCCTCCACCACGGCTTGACGACGAAGTGATGGAGTCTTAGTTCTTTCCTGCTTTTTAAGCGACACACGATTTATAATTTCTTTGTTTCTTCGTTTCATCGAGTGCCTCCGTTGAGGTGGAACTTTGTCCTCTCATTTTTTTAGGACGACTCATTTTCGCTGTTGCCGCTGTTGCTGTTGCGTAGAGAAGGCTCGATTGAAGCTTATTTGGGCTTGTTGTTGTACAGCACTGGGTGTGGGTACAAAGTATATTTTGTCGATCGGTGTCTTTTTCCAGATTTATTCTGTCGATGGTTATGGTATCCGTTTATAATAACCCTGTTGAGCCTGTGTACCTAAGTATCCTGATTTATCCTACCTCGCCTTGAATATCCCACTCTGTGTATCACAGTGTCCTCTTATTATTCTTATTTTCAGGTATCGTGGTGACGAGGTATAGCAAATTCATTGCGTACGCGATGTATAATCGAGACTCACGCACTCTGTGTGGATGAATTTGCTATGTCCTATTATTTAATGTCGATAATCGATCGAGCGTTTCGTCGCAAACTGCAGAGCTGGATTAAATTGTGGTATTCGTTGATTAAATCGTTGGTATTAAGCTATCAGCATAAATCATCGCATTAGCATTGATCAAGAGATTCATAGTTTTGATAACAATTAGTACGTTAGAGAATCATGACATATACATTAGAATCATTCTAGTGCAGTCAGCGATTTAACAAGCTGATAGACACACAAGCATTTATAATTATTTTATCAGGCTGTAAAGTACATTGCAAATATAGAATATTTTTCATAATAAAACATACTTTTCATAATAAAACGCAAATTACGAAGCTAAACGCAAGGGAGGTATCTCGCACGTGTCTATAACAAGTGACTAATACATTCTTGGCGGGGTGGCTAACCATTATTAATAATAAAACCAAAAGATCTCTATGTATTCTGATTCGCTTGGGTAACAAAAGGAAAAAAAAATACATTTGTCGTCATTCTTTAATGAGAATTGTAACGCATAGACGTTTGCCTCTCCATTGAGATTTTCATCTTCATGTGCGGAGCGTGCAAGTAGTGATCAAGATTGTATGATGTGTCGACAAATAGATTCAGACAGCGGCCTGGGCAGGTCGACGCCTCCGAGACGCGCCGCCAGTCCGGGCATAGGCAGTATGAGGCACCTAACGTCACCTTCGGGACCCGGTTCGCTGCCACCCGCCTTGATGACGTCGAAGAAGAGGATCTACGATGATGGCAGCAGCGACATCAGCAGCACGCCCAGTTCTATGATGGACTATAACGGTAAGAGGCATCAATAAATATACATATATCGATTCTGAAGGGAAAAAATGCACTCGATAGTCGCTATATTTTTTTTAACACAAAAGAAAAAGCTAAGAAACTGTTCATGCCTCCATTGAAACAGGTCCGAGACTGTATAAACTGCCGATAGCCAAGTCAAATCGGAACATAATGTTGAACGCTGTAGAGTACTGTGTCTTCCCCGGCACGGTAAACAGGGAAGCCAAATCGAGGGTTCTGGAAGAGATCAGCCGGTCCGAGAGCAAACACTTTCTCATCCTGTTTCGAGACGCTGGCTGCCAATTTCGCGCTCTCTATTCGTACTGTCCCGAGAGGGAGGAAGTAGCCAAGCTGTACGGTACTGGGCCCAAACAAGTCATCGATAATATGTTCGACAAGTTTTTTAAGTAAGCGAAATCAAGAGTCGATTCCTTAAGTTCGTTCTTTTCTGCCTCAAAGACTTCAATCAATTATGTGTCTCTATTTTAAATCGCTCGATGTATTACATGTTGTTGATTGATGTTTGTTTTTTCATTTTAGATATAATTCCAGCGGAAAATGCTTTTCGCAAGTTCACACGAAGCATCTGACGGTGACCATAGATGCCTTTACGATACACAACAGCCTCTGGCAAGGTAAAAAGGTGAACTTACCGAACAAGAAGGACATACCACTCGTCATATAGTTTTACATAAGTGATCACACACTTAACATTACGCTACTGTGCCCTCTGTTGTTCATATAGTTACTATTTTAATACAGGCCCATATTAAATTAATGCGAATACGTTGCGTTTTTAGTCAATTTTATAAGGACAATTGATCGATGCTGACCCCATATAAAGAAATAATCACAGTTGGCGCGCGAACCCCGCGTTTCTCGATCGCACGCCGCTTCCGAAGGGGTGGAAAAGCCGGGGGAGCGTGGTCATATATCAGAGAGAATGAGTTTCGTTTTACTTTTTTTTGCGTTATCCGTTTTTTTTTTTTTTCGTTGATCGTCAGCATCAATCACTGTGTCATAAGATTACCAGTATCTACTTATAAGACGGTTTGTTGTCAATACACCCCTAAGATCCTTTAATTTTGTGGACTAACTCTCGTCATGTAACCGCCTTGTAATTGTGTAAACCGCTGTGTTGCGACTGCATGGACGTACGATTCTCATGGATGTATAATGCGAAAGTTGATTTTTCTAAATTTATTTTACCAAACGAAGCGAGAGTGAGGGAGGATGGCAACGGTGCAGCTTGTGTTCTCATATGTGCGTACATGCGTAATTTGCGATTGACACAGGTCTTTCTGCATCCTTCGCTAGGCTAGGGATTCTAAATTCAACGATTATTATCTAGTGCATTTGAAACTTTTTAAAGAATATATTAAAATATAATAAAACGTGCGAACATGTGAGGGATCATTAATTTTTAGATGTGTCTCGTGCGCAAATCGCTGACTTTGAACTTGTTTTTATTTTCTGTATAACAGTATGTAACCTTGTAAAAAAGATCCTCTTTTTTTTATATCAATTTCCTTTTTTAATCGGGGAGAATGTTGTTCTTTTTTTTATGTGTATTTGCTCTTTATATTTTACCGATTGAAATACGTGTCGACAGAATATTCGATGCGGCTCAAACGGAGTTGAATTAATGATTTCTCATTCTGCGTACGTTTCTCGCGACTGTTAACGATTGTAATGCGTAGCGCAATTCTTGCAGTATCCCCCTCAGCCTCCTTTTCTCTGCGGGGGATGAAATTTTTGCCAACGGGGTGACAACGGATGCGAACAACGATCATGTTGTAAATAAATCAGTTCGTTGCGTAATTAGCAGAATCAAGTATAAGACCAGCCTTACAATAAATCCAGGCATATGATGCATCTGTTTCTTTGCGACGAAAGTCGATCGTTCGAGCTACATTACACGTTTCAAGTTTATACTGTAAAAAAAAACGCGTGTGAGATATGCGCGTGCATTAGTTTACGCCGAAGCGGCTGTTTTAAAGCGAGCGATGTGTTTCGTCAGATTAGGTAATTATCATTGTGTACAGAAAGTGGATATTGCATAAGTATCGTTGCCTCGCGGACAAAGTTTGTCGAAGGGCCGTCGAGAAAGGGAGGCTCGCGGTACTTTCTTTTTTCCTCCCACGCGCTTCAATCTTTATTATGTAACAGGAAGGTGGAAGATGGGCATAGTGTCTAAACAATTTTATCAATGAAACTGCGCTTTTTTCCGAACAAAGCTTTGTTATTCAAAGTTCTCCAGTCATATTCTACCTTCCTCGGAAGCAAAGAAAAACAGTATGAAGCCTTATGTTAGGAATGATGTAATTGGACTAAGTGCGTAAAAATATTTAACGAATTGACAGCATGACTTTTCTTCAATCGTGTCTCGTACATTACGTTTTCCCTGTAGGAATTTACCGGCAATCGCGACACATCCCGCCGTCTCTCAGCGAAACTTTAGTCAGTCCGGGCGAACAGAGAAAGCGGCGGTCCGTTATTTATCGGAAAAACTGTTATAATTTATTGTGCCATAAATTCGATGTTCGCTTTTCGCGTGGGACTGGCATCGGCTTCCTATCTCGCTGAACGGGCCTTTTCGGTCGGATACGTTTCTTTCATTATAATATTATAAGAGGAGAGAAGAAGCTAAGAGATAGGTAGACTTCATATAGCTATTTTATACGACAATATTGAGGGTCTATCGTTTGTATGATTATTTTCTCTCTGGTCTCGGATTCCGTTCACGATGACGACGTCTCCAGGATCGTTCTTCAATTATTTTGTATGATAAGTCTTCGACTCGGTGCGGAAAGTCGTGTCGAGTATAGGTAGACCCTCCGTATTCCGCGACACGGCGTAACGCAAACACAAGATTATTAACGATACAATTACAAATACAACGCGACATATCGAAATCGAGTGTTCTCCGCTGAAACTGCGGAGGAATAATCTATGTATCTTCAATTTGCATCGGGACGTAGTCAGTTTGACCTCGCCGTCCCGCGTTTCGCCGTTCGACCATGTGTAATGAAAAGGACTTGTGAGATTGTAGTAATCGAGAGAGAGAAAGAAGTTCATTATTCTATATCCCAGTCTGTTGTAAATTTATCCGAGTACGATGATGAGAGAAAAAGAGCGATAAGATAGAAAATCTTAGACTCAGAAACAGTCCGACCTGACAATATCGAACGTGAGGTACGCGCCATAGAAGAAAGAAAGAAATTATGAAACTTTTGAGATGAAGTGCAAGTTGCAGTAAATTCATGATGATAATGTTTGAAAAGAGAGTGAAGAGAGAGAGAGAGAGAAAGAGATATATATGAATTGATTGCAATTAATATATATATAAATATATACATAGTCATTAATCTTAAGAGCCAACGAGAATAATGGCTTGTGGAAATGGGATTGATTACAAAGTTATGACATTAAGAGAGATCTCTCGATATTGGTCGCTTATGCTTGATATTTATATTTTTTGAAGAATAGATATTATTAGTGAGCTGGTGAAAAAAAAAAGAAGACTTGGATGCGACAATTAAATGTGGACAAAACGGAATGGACCGAGACGGAAAGAAAGAGAGACGGGAACTCGAGGCATACACACATACACACACATACACAATTAAAGTACTGCGGCACGACGTAAATTTGTACGCCGCAGTTAAATCGCGCTTACTAATAATAATAAACGATTATTGTTACGTAATAATTATCGATTTTTATTGTCGCTGAAATTTCGACGTCAAGGCGAATATCAGTTCTCGAACTTCTATCCGTGTCTCTGTAAATATTATGTTTTTATATACACATAAAACGAAAAAAACTTATACCTACCTACTCGACGATATGTATATTTATTCAGTACGTCATGTAAGATTTGGGTCATAATTTACTGTTAGCATCTTCGCAGCGAATGTCATTAATAAAATTTAATAACCCATTTGTAATAGACTTTTATTCTTCCGCGGATGGATATCAAAAGTAATCCATCATTGATCGTACCTTAATGGCACATTCTTTAAAAGATCTGGCTTTTTCTCTTGACGAGAATTTCTTTAATTTTTAATACAAAACATCTCGAAATGAAGATTCTATTCGTAAATAAAAGTAAGATTTTCTTAATTCTCTAGAACTCTTCAATTCTTTGTGTTCAATATTTGTCCTTCATTTTGGAGGAAAATTGCATTGTGAAATTTCATAAAGCTGCGTTTTTGAAGTATTTTGTAGAGATCTTAAGAGCGTTAAAGAGGATAAATCAAAGCGACATAACCCTATGCGTTTTTTTTCTTGTTATATTATATATATTTTATACACAACAGCGGATTTTCGTAATTTGTTAATTTTCCTTGTGTATATGTAATATATTACAGTTTAACAAAAGTCGTGTGCGTGTGTTATGTATGAGAGAGAAGATTAGATATATAAATATTCTTCGAATATCATCTCTCTGTGTGCGTGATTAAAGGACACTTCTTTTTTACAGGGCACTTGCATGTTTCTCGATAAATCTTTCGAATAAAAAATCTACAATGTACATAATATATCGGGCTCTAGTAGATGTCTAACTATAAAAGTACAAAACGTAATCGCGTTATTTTCTATTCCCTAACTCGTCGACGCAGCGATCACGAATTCTCGTGATCGGATTTACGTTAACGATAATAAATAATGGCTTTTAAATACTGATGTACAAATTGTTTGCGGCTTACGATGAATAATTAAACTATATGGCAGTGGTCTCGCTATTTACGCGTAAAATGTCACCGTCTGCACGCGTTACGCATACCTGCGTACGTACGACGAAATTATTCATGCCATCGTTTGTTTGTCACGGCGAGACTGAAGCGTACGGTCTCTTTCTCTCTTTTTCCCTTTTCCTTTTTCTATTTTCATGCTACGACGATTAGCTTAACGGTCTACGGTTTAGCATCTTTTGGCTTTGTTAAGTCTTAAAAAACTCGTCGCCTGCGAATATATGGCACGTTAATCTCGATGCGATTGTTGAACTCAACGCGACTCTTCGAACAGTCTTTGGAACTAAAAGCGCTGAACGCCGAGGTAATTGTCTTTCCTCTTCACGCTCCGCTATCATTGAACCGGGCAGGAGCTCAGATGGATGTTGTGCAGCTCGGCCATGTCCGTCCAGTCTCGCCTTTCCCCTCTTATCATCACATTCCTGATGCATCCATTGAAGTGGTCTCGCGTTAACAGCGAGCCTTTCTGAGCAGTCGCTGGAAATTATGAAAACAGTGTTAGTTAAGCTACTTTTTTATGTTCCTTTTTTATTTATCATGCAGGCTTATTTACATATCAATGTGTAATTTAACGCAACATTCATTTACCTGGTATACCGCCTATATACAACGGGCCGGAGAAGATAGAGGTATTTAAATGATAATTAACATTCGTGGGTAAGCCGTATTTTTGATCCAGCTCGTCCACCTTGAGCGCCAGCTCCTCATCGTTATATACAGCCTGGATCCTGTGCCATCGATTGTCGCAGATCGCGTAATGATTAGAGAAGCCCTGTTCCACATATAACGGATTGTTGTCGCCCAGATCGCCCGACATGATCACCTTCCCGCTATTGAGTTCTAATGACAGAGAAGGTGAACCACTGGGTGCGGTAATCGACAGCAACACGCCAGACACTTCCGATGTCCTGAATTCTAATTGAAGTTCAAGCACGCCATCAACCTCAAAGTTGTTTCCTAAAAGAACATAAAATTGTTACTCCGAAGATTTAAAACGAAGTAAGAAAAAATTCAATATTTCTTAGTATTGAAATGAATCTTATTTTGTAATCTTAATTTGTATCTTTTGCATCGTTAATTTTTTTTTAAGATGCCATTATATTTTATAGTGAAAAAAGTTAATTATTTAAATTTTTTAATTTAAAAGATTAAAAGTGATATGATTCAAATTTTTGAGCTGTTTATTTTACGTTCAAGATTTAGGCATTTCTCCTTAAGTTCCTCTTTTATTAGTAGTTTCGTGACTTACGATAAATAGCATAAGCTTCGCCCTGGAAATACGCTCCGCTCTCGACACTTGGGAAGCACTGACCGACATTGAAGGCTCTACTAGTGGAACCCACCATGTCGTAAACATTTCCATTGATCTTCAGGCCTCTGATACATCCCTTCAATGTCTCCAGTCTGACAACCACTTGTTCCGGGATAGGCGTTCCGCTTTCCGGAAGACCACCGATATACATCATGGATGCGAGACCAATTCTTCTCGGTACTTTGACGATGCGCGGTGTCTGAGTATCGACTAATAGGGTGAGCTTCCTTTCTTCATGGCTGATAACGACGTGATGCCAATTGCCATCATTAAACGGTGTCTTGAATAGTATTTCCTTTCTTTGTTTGCTTCTCACTACCAAAAGAAGCTGCCCATCCCGGATGAGTACCATTAAATAGTGTTTCAATCGAAGACCCTGTGAATTTGTAACAACAGTGATAATGTTATAATTAACTAAAACGATAGTTAAATGATTAGAATTATATTTATATAAAAGATTAGCGTTATAAAAATCGGAAAATACGTATATTTTGTTCAACTTAATAAATTTAATAAAATAAATTTAAACTAGTTGTAAATAAAATTGTCAATTAGCAAAATCATGATTACATCGTATGCATTTTTTTTTTACCGGAGTGATAAACAGCAATCCATTGGGATAATACGTCCTAAAATCGAATTCTATCACATATTTTTTCTCCCAGAATTTCTTGAAGTTGAGATAGAGCTGCGTATGACTGTGTGGTTTATCGCCAAATTTCAAAGCACCCGGTTCTAGCGAATAATAAGGTACTTTTTGGCATCCTTCGGGTTGTGTGGACATCCCTCGAGACAATGACGCCGATGGTACATAATTTGGCATTTCTTTTCCCATACTTGGTCCGGAACGACCGATTAGAGCGTGATCAAAATTAACTGCATCGTCAAATCGAAGATTTCTGGAAAAAAAAAAAGATTATAAATTAATCGTACAAAGCTTCTTCAAACTGATATAATAAAGAAATAATCTAATTTTTTTTAATTGAAAAATTAAATCGAAAAAGTCCATAAATACAATTATTTTATACAATTTGAAATAACAAAATTTATATATTATATATATGTAATGTAATTTTAATACGTCGAAATTTTAATCTCATGAATTTAATTTCATGACTTTTCGTGTTCTAAGAAATTATGAATAATATTTAATTGTTTGGACTTGGCTTAATGACTTACATATCATTGAAAATCACATCCTTGATAGCGCCATACAGTGGCGTATTAGTTGCGACCATTTTAGTATTATTAATGAGCGCCGGTAATCCGCCAAAGAAAAGTCCGCCGTTCGAACTGGGAGCCTTGATCGCAATACTATTGCGTAATTTTCCTGATGTTTGATACGCGTCATCGATTCTCAGCTCCACTTCCTTTCTTTTCTTAATGACAGTGACCGAGTGATATTTTCCGTCGTTAAAAGTATTATTCGATTGGAGAACCAGCTCGCCATGACCAGCATTTAAACGAACTTGCACTTGTCCATTGAGAATACACACGGAGTAATAGCTGTCCTTCTGAAAAAATTAATTGAACAAATATTAATTTCAAATTTTTTGATAATTATAATACGCAAATAAAGTTTATTTCCAATAAAATGTATGTGCAAATAATGTTTTGTTGCATATCTTGTTTATACGTTTATGAATATTAGTATGTCCTTTTATTATGAATTTATTTAGAGTAGAGGTATTCAAGACTATTTTGCAGCATTTACGATAAATCATTTTGTACACTGCATTATATAGTGATTCTTTTTATAATAAGAAAAAAATTAAACGATAAATTGTAATAAAACCTTACAGCTTCTTTGAGAGTACCACCCAATCTGTCTTCGTGGCCCTCAAACGTGGAGAGAAGAAGCATAGCTACATTCTGCATGCTTCTGAAGGAGAAACTTAGGACAGATTGAATCTTGCGCAGAGTAAACGCTGAATGCTCGAGATATCCATCTCCATAAAATCCGACTATCTTCAATGGCTATAACAACAAAAGAGATTTGTTTAATTTTGATGTACAAAATATTATAGCTACATCTGAACAAATTCCAATAGAATGTTTGATCTATTTTAAAGAATAAATTATAATACTTACTTTATCACCGCAACTGGATTCCACTCCGTAATATTGTTCGGCCATTGGATCGTAACCCTCTTGCACTACGATATTGGCCATGCATCCGAGGAAGGACACTTGCGAGGGTAACATTAGTTTTTCTGCGCGGAAGCTTGGTGGCAGCCCGCCGATGTAGTACTTGGCCTGCGCCAAATCTGGGATATCTTCCTTCGTAGGCTGTGGTGTGGGCGCACCAATTCGTTTGTCGTTGTCACCACCGATACTAAGGCTGCATTTTTCGATGTTCTTGCGTAATTGATACTGACGGAATGCGTCCACCTTTGTCCAATTGCCGGTATTGTACTTGTAAGTCGAGGACATCTCCATGCTCACATCCCCGCCGTAGCCGACATGGAGGATCACTCGGCCTTCTCGCAGGGAAATCATGATGTGCTGATTCTATTTATAAATAATATAATAGAAATTAAACTGAATTCCATAAATACAATTAAATTGATGTTTTATTAATAAATATTAAATATAATAATGTATACAAATTTTTTTTTAATTTAATATAATGCGAATTAAATTTATTTTCATCTCTACTCTCTTTTTTTTTTAAGAAAAGATGTAAAAATATATTCTTGATATTAAAATAAAATCATGAGGAAATTTAAATAAATTCGTACATCTTTGTTAATGGCTAGAAATAGCAATGCATTCTCGTCGTATGTTCGAAAACTAATCGAGACTCCAAACATATATTTATTATATGGACCAGATGAGACTCTGTTTCTCACGGCATAGCCCTCTCCATTGAAATTGTAAGCTATATCATCTTTGGCATCCTCCACTCTGTAACATTAATAATATCATTGTTAAAATAATATCAAAAAACAAGCATTTTGTATTATTAAATTATCAGATAGAAAGAACTTGAAATATGAAATGATATAATGTATGTGCACATATTTGAAATATGCAGAATTTATACATATAATAAATAAATATAAACGTCAAAGAAATTTGATTATTAATTTTCACGGTTAATTACCCTTCTACACAAGCTTTGCAAGCCATGTCTGGTGCTGTTGTGATGAAATTCCAGAGACCGATATGCTTTCCATCAAGGATTACTTGATGAATACAACCCGGAAGACCATTACCAGCGATCAGCTCCATTGGTCTTCTCTGCGATTTAGGGATACCTCCTATCCACACTCGGTCTGTAGGCAAGACGTCGAAACGACCATATTCGGAGTTAGTTGTATTTATGACGGGAAGATACTTTCCGGACGTCGAAAACTGCTTGTGCACGTTCAGCTTGCCTGTGTGTCGCGTTCTAAGATAAAAAAGCAAATTATTTGAAATCAGCTTCTTTCTCTAATATTAATTAATGATAACATTGTGAATTATTCTTTACATATTTCACAAATTCTAATCAATATTTGTTTATCTATTTTTATACATTAATTAATTATATTCATACTAATATTGTGATTTACCTTTCAGCCTCAATCCGATACCAAGACCTGTCATTCTGCAGATCGCCACTTTCAAGAACTTCAGGATGTGTTAGTATACCTGTACCACCGCCGACATTCCATAAGAATCGTACCTTTTTATCAAATATCTCTACGGCGATAAAATCATCCTGAAAAAATTCGAAATATCAGAACTTTGCTTAAAAATCAATATGTTATAGTGTTATACAATTCAAAATAAACGATCATACAAGGCCAATGTGAGTCATACAATTCGTATGTATTTTATTTTATGCGAAATTAATTGCTCTAATCGCTAAATTAATATTGTTATTATAGAACTTACATTAATTCCACTAGGCAAGTAAAACAGGGAACCTTCTTTGCGTGCAGTTGGAAGCGCGAATGTTATCATAATCGACGTCGTTGACGAGGATTGCAACGTCGTTGGTCTGTATGAACGAATGCATTCTTTACCTTCCACCGATCGTAGAGAGACGCGGATCTAAAAACAAAGTAAAATATAAAACTCATATTTCAAAAATTATGTATCGCAATTATTCAATCTTAAAGATGTATCCCAAAAAAAATGTATGATCTCTGCCACCAAAAGTGGTGACTAAAATTGGAAATTTATACTTTTCATATAAAAATCAATGTACATTAAACAGTTCAATAAGAATCATTTTAACCTTATTGAATATTACAAATTTATAGGTTTAAACAAAAATTTTCTTACTTTATCTTAATTATTTTTTAAAAACATGTCTAATTCTTATTGAAATAATTTTTGATTCTAGATATTGAGTCACTACCAAACCTTTTATATTATTTCAAATACATAGAAACTACAGAAAAATCTAATTTTTTCATAATTTTTTCATTTTGTTAAAAATATGTGTACTACATTCTTAATTACTCAAAGTTATATCGAAAATTATCAATTAAATGAGTTATCCTTAAAAATTGTTTCACATTAAGAAATTTAAAGATATATAATATAACAAAAATAGCATATAATAATAAATTTATGGTAAAGACATTTAAATATGGAGAATCAAAACTTTTATTTTAATTTATAAAAATATATCTGAGCAAAGAACAAAATAATTATTATTCTTACCCCTTCGGCAGTATTTCGGGCTTCTGCAATTTTGTCTTTGAGATTCTGTAATTTCGTGGCTAATGTGTCATTCCATTTATCGAAAACAGCTTTTCGTTTCATTGCAACGTTTGATAGACTTATTAGCTTCGCATCGGCCTTCTTAATATTACTCAGCGCTTCCGTCACTAAAATAGACATATTTCTATAATAGTTTACAATTTTCACTAATACTTAATTAACATTAATATTTAATCAACAATAAAATTATTTAACAATAGCATATAAAATGTGATAACGTTCGCCAAGTATACATATATATTAACTTTGAAAAGAAATATTACATTTTTCGCTGGCAAGGCTTATCTTCGAATCGCCTTCGCGCTTCAATTCGTGCAATTTCGGCTTCAGTCTGTCGGCGATGCCTTGTTTGTAATCGTCGATCAATCGTTGCGTATCCATTACCGATTCTGCTACTTCATTGTTGTCCTCCAAGATATTTAGTAGATCTTCATGTACTATTTAAAAAAAAAATTCTCGTTAATATAATGTTAAAATATTTTATTCGGCAACTGCATTTTTTGAAATTATTAATAACATCATAATAACATATAATATAGACTTACATTTTTTACTATTACTTTGCAATTCTCGCAATTTCACATTTATCTCGTTGTCCTTTATTCCAGTGTTGTTTAACGAATCCTTTAATACCAGCACGGCTTGCTTCTGAGCATTCAACTTGGCGTTTGCATTTTTTACTAGTTTACCATGTTCTTTCGCCACTTCCCACTGTTGCGAAGACTTAGTTAATACTTCCTTGGCATCATCCAGTAACGATTTCTGTCCCGAAGGAGGGAAAGCCTTGAAAAAGCATCTACATTATATTTATAGCCGACTCTCAAAATTATAACATTATATTAATACTTTATTTAAATTAAAAGCATAAGACTAGAATTTAGGAAGAATAAAAAAATATATGAATGTTGATAATTAATACAGCAGATATATTTTTGAAGCTAAGCTCTTTTATTTTAAATTTTAAAACATTCAGCAATATATTTTTCTAAGTAAATCTATATTGATTGCACGCGCTGATATATAAAATTACAAGAAAAATTATGCTTCTATTTTGTAAACATTTAAAATATCTCAAAAATACTCTTGATATTTTTAAATTAGAAAAGTTCAAATGTAAATTAAAGCATAAAAGTATCATGGAATAATTTTATTTTAATGTAATTATTCATAATATAAATAGTTATAATTTGAAAAATTATTTTTATTTTATATAAAAAATGGAAATAGAGTTACAGCATTTAAACGTATAAGTTTTAGTGTTTAATAAAGAGGAAAATAAAAATACAAAAATCCTAAGTTCGAAGAAAATCGTATAATCATTTTTTACCTTTTTGTGCACATCTTCGGCGATTTCCTTGGCTGCCAGCGCAGTGACTTTCGCCGCTTGCAAACCGTCGAAGATGTTCTTGTAGGCCTGACTTGCCTTCAGGGGACTAGCCGCAATATCTCGTGTCTTGGCGAACAAACTATTAAACAAAAATTATATCACATTATTGAATCGTCAATGATTATATCATTCGCTATCGTTGAGATAAAGTCACTCGCTTTGGATTTAATGCGATGTAATTGTCGATTGAATTAATTATGCTAATAGGATGCTTAAAGTACCTGACATACTGATCGACGTAGCTGGATAAATTCTTCGCATGTTGCACTGCTGGCACCACATACTTCTCGTCGTACTCGTAATTTAACCGATACAAAAGTTCCTCCTTCATGCTCAGCTTCTCCGTCCAGTATGTTAATTTATCGCGTGAATCTGAGAGATTCTGAAAATCGTATTTATAAGAATAAGATTCTTAATGTTTGTGATCAATAAAAAATTCAATTATTTATTATTATATATACATGTCACTCGTTTTTTCTGTATTGATTTCTTTCTTATTTATCACTGTTACAAATTGTTTTAAAAATAAAAATAAAAATATTTCTACTTGAATATTATTTTCTGCGTCGACAAGTAGATGGCGAGCTTCATTGACGAGTTTCTTCCCTTCGGTGACCGTTTCATTCGTTTCGTCGTGTAATATCCTTATACGAGCGCATTGATCTTTGGCCTCGATAAATGTCCCGTTGATATGGTTGTACAAACTGTCGTAGCTGAATAGTGTTTCCATGGTGTTTTCTATGATCGTTCGCATATCGTTCAATTTCATCTCGTAATTTTTAGCGTCATTTTGAGCGACCGCCAAAGGCTCAGTCGCGTCATGAAGAGAGTTTAGCCACGCTACATATTTGGTAACACCGCTTTTTTTTAATCAAAAAGAAAGAGAACATATTATTTATTAATAATTTAAAAAATTTAATTTTTTCTTTCTCTTTTCTTGTTCCAAAATTAATCCAATCAAAACAATACTCACTCGAGGAAGTTTTCCACTTCTGTAGTTTTCTTGATTATATCGACGGATTTTAGATAATTCAAGATTGCCTTAGCAGTTTTTAAGGCTTTTTTTATTTCTATTCTTCTATTATCGTTACTGTATTGATTGAGTTCCGAAGTTGTATCTGGAGTTTGAGAAAAAAGATTATTCTAAAAATAATTACACTGCAGCGTAATTATTGTAACGATAATTAAAACAAGTTTTTATGATATAACATACCTTCTATATCTCTTCTTAAATTATCGAGCATAATTTTCGCTGTAAAAACATTATTTTTTAAATCGCCGCTTTTAGTCTTCAAAGTATCGGCATGTTTCGCATTCTTGTTCATCTGCAAATTAAAATAAAATAGGAAATGTATTCTAAAGCTCATTGTAGATGATCAATTTGCGTCAGATTTCAGAATAAACAATTATACTATTATTATTTAAAAATATTAGAGAGACATACATTTCTTAACATAGTTTCAACATCTTCTGCAAGTTTTTTGTATTCATGCCACGGTATGTTTCTCATTCTTTGCTGTAGACGAGTTCGCAGCTCCAATTCCTCAAGATATGTAGTCGTGTTGGAATCAATATACGATAGTTCCTCCCACGGGGGTGGAATATATCCGTCTGCTATGTGACTCGTTCCACCGGCCAGTTCCTCAGACAACATCGCGACAGTATCGAGCAGAATTCCCGTGCAATTGTCATTGCATGCTAAACATTTCGCACAACGTAATGTAATAAAACGAATTTGTGTAGCAGTGTATTTAACAAAGATTTATAAAATGAGATAACAAATTCTAACTTTCTAAATCTACTGATACAGATGTTTTAATTTTAAGACAAAGAATCAATTTGTGGGTCAACTTACAAGTGCAAACATTGTTTATGTAAACGTGTCGATATGCCGTGCATTGGGAGCAATCTCTGCCTGTAGAACCGATCTTGCATTTGCACTGTCCTGTCTCGCCGTCGCAGCCGTCGCTTAAACTTCCTGCCAAGTTGCAATTGCACGGAACGCACTTGCCGTCCGGAAGGTCGGGAAAACCGTAATAGCCATAGGCACAACGTTCACATTTTCTACCGACATAACCTGCGACAAGCCGAAGGTGAACGCACGAGAAAAATAAAAAAAGCCTACTTTAAAGATAAGTTATAATTTGTATTAGACTTCAGAATGAAATTCGATTTATAATTTTATATGTCATACAAAAATGTAATACAAAAAATATTTGTAGGAACAGAATACACATATAAATGAAATATATGTTGAAATAGATAGACATCTAAATATATAGCATATAAAATTATAAATAAAATTCTATCCTGAAATCTGACGTGATAATTACAGATCATAAAGTGAACTTAATAGCCTTGAGAACATTAACGTTTATAATTTTAAAGAAAATACAATTTAGATACTATGCGTACAAAATGAACATCCGCATTATGAAAACCGCAAGATTTTGTGTCAAATATTTTGGATGATCTAAGAGTTAAAATATTAAAATAAATTAGACAAATGTTTCAATTAATTTTTTATAATTATTTTTATATGCGCGAATTATTTTTCATATTCTTGTCTACACACCTGGCTTGCAGTGACAAATAGGTTCATTGTTCGCACGAACCACGCAGGTACTTGAAAATCTCTTATCGACTTGCGGACATGGACATGGCTTGCAGCCTATTTCTGGATAACCGTAGAAACTATCAGCGCAAACGTTGCAATGTGCACCAAATGTGTTTTCTTTACAGTTCTGTAATATATTAATTTTTTAAATATTATATATATATAAATTTAATAATTATTCAAATTATACACTCACTTTAAATTCGATATTTTTTTACAAAAATTAAAAAACTACCTATAACTACCTATAAATATATTAAATAATCTATATATTCCTTCCAAAATCTATTAGAAAAAAACGCTAAGATATTTTTCATCGCAAAAAATAGAATACAGAAATTGTTTATACATGAATGGCAAATGCAAATAATTGACAAGAAAAAGAATGTAAATCCGTAAATCATGCAGATTCGAAGGCTTCTTAGTAAGAAATTTATCTTGTATCAACTCTAGCTTGTATCCTTATGCACTTGTCTCTCAGCACACTTCCTGTCGCGTTATCATCTCCGCGAATAGTGTACACTCGTAGGAAAATGTTTGAGTAATGCTTACCAAGCAATATCCCGTCTCCCTGTCGCACACCTCGGATCTCCCATTGCACTGGCAGCGTCTGGCTTGTCCGACAAGATCGATCACGATGGTAGACGTGGCGGTGGTGTTCTTATACCACCTGTAAAAGCCGATGCTAGGATCTTGGCAAGACGTACCGTTGTATTCCGGCGGGCACTGGCAGATCTCCACTCCGGTCGCCAGTGGTGGCGAGTGTGTAGGCATCAGGACGGCGGCGTCGAGAGAAGCTTCCAGCAATCTGAACAAAATGCAGATTAAAACACTTACAAATTTACATATATATTTTAAATCATAATAGAGTTAATGAGTAAAATAATTTTTATGTCCAATTTTACTCGATCAAAATTAAACATGGAGCAAAAAGAACGTTGAAAAATAAACAGAAATTCATTTTACTCTCTATGATGCATATTTTTCAGTTACATACGTGGTTCTTGTAAATTCAGCATTGTCCGAAGCTTTTACGAGGATGTACTGCAGATTTTGCAACGCGACCATTAGAACCTCCCTGGAGACTTTGTAATCCGGCCTGTTTTGTAGCTGCCACAATGACTCGTGAAATCTAAGATAAAATATGCATGACAGTCGTATAACGTATAAGAATATATTCTCAATGAATCTATACAAAAATTCCATGATATTAATAAATTATATTTAATTTCATTTGATAAATTATACGTTAAAGTGTCTAATTTATATTTTATTTACATTGAATCACGTGTTCTCTTCCTCTTTTCAATTAACTGTGAATGTACCTGACTTCATAACGATTATCGTTTACTGGCAGATGAAGATAATATTCCAAGACAATTTTATTGTTGCCTTGTAACTGCACCACGGGATATCGGAGATTCGATCTTAGAGGTATTCCACCTTCCGTCGAGGTTTTAAAGCGCAAGAATCCTCCGTAAGAGACAACCTTAAAGGATTAATGTGAGTCTAAAGCGTTGCGTCCACGATGCGAGAAATCGCTTCGAAATATCGGACAGAAAAAAAATTGATTGTTGATCAATCGACTGAATTTTGCATACATAAATTTTTATTTTAATACGAGACTTCTAAACGATTTTGATTTATTTTTTGAACGCAGAATATTGATACATATTCAATGAAAAAATTACCTTATCGCCTAGAAAAGAATCTGGCAGTCTCCAATATAAAGGATAATTATAATAAAGAGTTGTGGGCAACGTGACATCACCATCAGATCCAGGGATTACGGAGAGACCATTTGTCACGTTCAACCCACCGTTCACCGCTGGTAATATAGTTGTGGAGCCAAAATTCGTTATCTGTTTAATCGTACGATAATTAAATGATTTATACGACGTATAAAATACCGTACATATTTAATAAAGCTCATTCATCAAGATTTAACAGCCGAAACGGATCTTACTATTACATCGCTGACTGTGTCATTGATATAAAGAACACGAGGCCGAGTCAATCTGCGTTGACCCCAACTGAGTCCGGCCTGCTGACACAAGGTGCTCCTTCCGAAGCAGAAACACTCGGTGCATCCCTTGATATTGTCCGTCGCAAGACCGAACGTACCTTCCTTGCACTGATTGCACTGTCGTCCAACGGCCAGTTCCTTGAAGATCATTCTTTAATTAATGCCTTTTCAGTGTTACATCGGAAACAAAATGTACAGAACTTTTTAAAATTTTATAATTAATTTCAAATTAAAATTCGTAAGGAGATAACTAAAAAACAATTCATATAAATTCATCGATTTTTCAATTTTAAATTTTCGCAATTGGAATATAACGATTTGGAAAATTCATTTTTCCATTTTAGTTTAGTCCAAAGTTTACACATACACACAGAAAAATACATACCGTATTTAAATATTAATTATTGGTTTCAAGTATTTCAAAAGTTTATATATTCGCAAATTTATCATAAATTCATCACATCAAATTTATTCAAAATATATTCTGAATACTGATAAATTTAATAAAATTTGATTAAAGTATTTATTTAATATTTTAATCAAAATTATTAAATTTAAGCAAATTCGATCTGCTTGTCAATTGTTGTTTTAATAAAATTTTATAATATTCTTTAAAAAGATAAATTCTTGCTTTAAATACATAACAATAAATTTTTCTTATTTGTAATAAATATCTTTTAAATCTTTGTTATCAAGAAGATATTCCTCGTTAAAGATAACTGTCACTTAAAACAAGAAAAGTAATAAACTAAGGAATCACTTTTCTTAGCAGTAAAATATTTTTCTGTGTGTACAGTTAATTCTTTCTAATAAATTCACAAAATTCCTTTAGCATTAATTTTTATTCAGCATTCTTTTCCCATTGCGACGAAAAAAATCTATTAAAATGTTCTATCTAAATTTGTTGGCTCCTGATCTCTCTCACCTTGCACGGGCACTGTCCCTTGTCATCGCATTCACAGACACCGTCGTGGCAATGCGTCGTACCGGCTAAATTGCAGCCGCAAGGACGGCACCTCGGATAGCCGTAGTAACCCTTGGCACATCTCTCGCACCTGAGCCCGTCATAGCCGATTCTGCAGGGGCACTGACCCTGATGGTCACACTGGGACCCTGTGGCGCCCAGAGTACAGGCGCATGGCCTGCAGCCAACGCGCGGCACTAAGTCCCACGCACCTGGTCTACATCGGTCGCAGTGCTCACCGTAGGTCAAGCGGGGACACACGCAGCGACCGGTATCAGGGTCACACACGTGACCGGGTCGAACGCATGAATCGCACACTGTGGAGCAAGTGGTCGGTCTCACATTATAGATTCTCCCGTTCGCCGAGACTTTATAGACGTAGTAAAAGACGCAAACAAAGTCTACTCTCGAGTGTTTTATAATTTCGCTTTCTCTCTTGTAAAATTTACAGTCGAGAATTCCTCGTGCTGATAGAAAATCAGTTTGTTAGAAAAAAGAAATGGACAGTCGCATATTAAATCTCAGGATTGTGCGAGCAAAAATCGTGAGACAAATTTTTACTCTATATAAATTTCTACTCATCGTTCAGAGTTCTCAAAGCAAAAATATTATTTGCAAAACTTATACAGCAAAGAAATTGCAAGGGATTAGATTAAATTATTGCTATTTTGACTAAGAAATATCACGTTAGTTAGATGAGAGTTACAGCAGGAAAAGAATTTGACTCACATTGACAGCCGTTTAAAGAAAATCCATAGTATCCGGATAAACAACTGTCGCAGCGTGAGCCACCCACACCCGGCTTGCAATAGCATTCTCCTGTGTCGTTGCTGCAGGATGTGTTATTGGATCCCATAGAATCGCATCCGCAAGGCGTGCAGCCTGTTCCTGATGTCAATCCCCAATAACCGGTCTAAATCGTCATATTAAATCCGACAATTAGAAATGTCCCTCGAGCTTGAGTTGCATTAATTGAATAACAAATAAAGAAAGAATGAATATTTAAGAAACATTGTAACTGTCTAGATTAGAATCTGCTGGCGTCAGACTTACATATATTATTATCGCAATAATTGTCAGGATCTATTAATTGACTTTGATTGTTGGATTTCGACGGACAATGATTTATCATGTTTGACTGTGTCTGACGTTTACCACTTCTGTATTACAGATCACTGAATATTTCCCGGTATCTGATACGCATTACGAAGCAAGACATTTGTCTTCGCTATTAGATGCTATTCGAGATAATGCACTTCAATGTTATAAATCACTTTATCTTACTCGGCATTCGATATTGCTCGATAAATTTGAGCCTCGCTTTCTGATTTGGATTTTCTAATATTATCTTCTACACTGAGAAAAAAATATTGTCAATTTTAATAAATATTTAGTTGAATACATGCCAACTAAATATTTACTTACAGTAAATAAATATTTGTTTAGTAAAAAAAATGATTGTTAAATCAAATTAACATTTCTTGTATCAAATAAATATATCTTTATATTTAATAAATATTTAGTTAGCATGTATTCAACTAAATATTTATTAAAATTGACTATATTTTTTCAGTGTAGTATTACAAAAAAAAAAAATATACAGATTTAATCTAATTTATAAAATAAAAAATTTGCAGCATCCAGTATATCGTAGAAAATCGAGTCTTACCTTACATTCGTTGCACTGTCTGCCAATAACTTGCGGTTTGCATTGACACTGTCCGGATACGATGTCGCAGGCAGAACTCGTGGAGCCCAAATTGTTGCAGCCACATCCTGTAATCAAGCAAAATATTATCAATGAAACATAAAAATTAATTTCCTTCGTAATTCATGTATTTAAATACGCCTATAAATGGCATCGATAAATAAAATCTTGCCGGAATAAATCGAGATATAATATAAATAATATGGCCGCAATCTTTGTTGAAAATTATCCTTTGGAAAATAAGTAACATCATATTCAAATTATTACTTCTATTTAAGCATTATAACTTTGAATAGCAGTTAATTTCTATTGTTCTATATTTACTCTCTATTATAAATTTCTCGCTACAAACCGATGATAAAGAAGCTATAATTTTCGTTTTCGAAGCGAGAAACGTAAATGATCACTGTCAAGCATAAGCAAGTGTCGACAGCGGTCTCATTAATAATTCATACAGAATTATTCTCTTACTTTCGCTAATTGCGCACTGATGAAACGTTTGTACCGTTTCTAATCGATTAGCGTGGCGCGAATTTTTTCGGCCGCCGATCGCGTAAAAAATTCGCGGCGTGACTGGCGATCGTTGCTGCACGCGTTCGCCGATTTGACCGGCGTGGTCACGCGTGAGCAACTTGTTTATGCAGCATCGAGCGGATTTTGCAATTAGCGATGCCCGTCGCTGTGAGCGCCGCATTGTATTCAAATGCCGCAGACGACGGCTGTCGTTCTCGCGCGACTGTCGCCCTGTAATGCCGCGGAAATTATAAATTATGCATGGTCGCATCGAGCATCGTCGGTTGGAGCGTATCGATTTCCTATTAACGGTGGCCCTTACAAAGGGATTACCCGCGAGAATTGATTCGGCGACGCAATCGCGTGTTTACACACCGCTGCGATTCGATCGAACGATATAGAGCCGGGAGACATTCATGCATGATTATCATGAATAATAAAAGATAAATATAGCATGTATCTGTGGAGAACATGATTGAAATAAAATTAATTATGTTTATACATATTTTTGAATTTATATACATACTAGCACATCCCCTGCGCGCGCTCCTCCATTAGACTCTCCTTTTTAGCGATTATGAAATATAATATTACGAATCTGGATTCAAAATGTTTGAATAAGAAAAATGACTGAATCGTTAAGGCGGTTTGAAAATTTGAAAATTCAATATGGCGGATGGAATTCTTCAGTTAAATACCATAAACAATTTTATAATACAATTATTTATTATCGACCGCTAATGTTACAATGGTACATGTTGCTTCTTTTTTTCTCATCGTTTGCTCAGGATTGCTCCGTCGGAATTTTCGTTTACTCACTCTTAGTTCAAAAGGTATACGAAATTTAAATTTTGGAGTCCAACTTCACGCTAGCCTCCCAACATTAAAAAATCGAATATTTTTTGGTTGCATTTGTTTGCTCATCATTTAATCTTTAAAATAATTTATTTATTTATTAATACACACTGAAAATATGTAAATCAATTTTCACTCCATTCTATCATTACACTAGTTTTCTCAATGAAAAACAATATTACATTTACATTTTGAATTTCTATGTTGGTGATGATTCAAAGCGAAGCCGAAACGTTCGTGATTACAATGCCATACATTGTACTTGAAGTTTTATTATTGACATTTCTTTTTAAATAATTTGCTCATCTTTAAATGTATTTTGATTTTTACAGATTTTTAATTTTTGAAACATTCGCCGAGGAATATATTTTTTTTTATAGATTGAAAGAATTTTTATATATTTTTTTTTAAAGATTTCCAAATGTGTCTTCCTAAGAACCGCAAATGCTAATTTACACATTTTCAACCGAGGATCGTATCAATTCTGTTGTATAAATCATTAGACAACATACGGTACGAATACCTGAGAGAAATGAATAATTCTCTTCGCGATGTTTCTCCACCGCATATCAATTCCGATCAATCATGTTACGCGCTCCCCCTCCCGTGATTATGTGCATAATTACTCTTACATCATCGAGTAACAATCATATTACACCGGGAATTACATTATAGTCGATATGGCCTCGTAAATTAATATCGCATTGTCGAGTCCGATTGAAGTTATTAACTGTTGAATAGTAAGCGAGATGAATTATTCGCTCGCTTGTCTAAAGAAAATTTCAATTAAATTTCAATTAAATTTCAATTAAATTTCATTTAAATTTTTATTGCGCCATCTGTAAATTTTTCTTTATTTAACAATGAATGTAAAGTATCGCGATAATTGCACGGAAAAAACAGTTTTACTGAAGTATCTAAAAATTTAATTAGATACAGATTTGAAGATAATTTTATTGAGTTATCAAAATAATTGTATATATATATATACAATTATATATAGAATTATGATACGATTAATATAATTAATACAATTAATTATATTTATTAATTATATTTTATACAATTATATATAATTATAATACAATTAATTATATACAATTATATATACAATCATATATATACAATTGTATTATATATAGAATGTTCGAGCACGATGCGTAATGTTGAAGAAATTTTAATATTCTAGTAACCATCTTGAGATTTCTATATAAATATTTTTGATGGACCGACCGAATTATTTTCAGATTTGTATCTGGCTGATTTTTTAGATACTTCAACAAAACTGTTCCATGTGTATTAAAAGATGTAATAAGGTTTGTAAGAATACTGGTCCATGAAACATGATGTACCAGAGATTGGGAATTAAAATTGCAACGTTGTCGTAAGATAGCTCGCACGTGCAAATGCATTTTATGCACTGTAATAATTTTAATGGCGTACGGTACTTCGCTAACTCTTTCATCTGGCCGAGAATTGAATAATTGGCCGAATATTTCAGCAATTTCAAAAATTAATTAACAACTTGATAATCAGGAAGAGAGCGAACTAAAACGTCCGTGGTGATTTGTTCGCGGCATGCCATGCTATATACTGTAAATCTCGCGTTATTGCTGTCTTATCAATTAACCTTTACGACGAAGGAGATGCCACGGCTCTCTAATTGATGTTCATGCACAAGGTGCAAACAGGAATGTTTGTAATGTAATATATCAGCGCTATCGTTAAACGCAAAAGATATCAATGTCTAATTAAGATCTAGCGAATTCCTTTTAATAATCGTTTTTGCCTTCTGTAATTATTTATGAAAAAAATGTATAGGTACACGGAAAAAATAGTTTTCAAAAAGTATCTAAAAATATAGCTTGATTCAGAAAAATAAAAATAATTTTATGGACTATCAAAAGAATAATATAGAATAAAAAAAATCAAAGTCTTATATATACGAAAAAAAACAATTTTTTTGCTGAAAATTTTTAAAATTTAGCTAGATATATGTATACATAAAAATAATTTTGTTGAATCTCATCGAAATAATTAAGTAGAATATTTAAATATGATGAGCAATAAAATATTTTGATATTATAACAAACTTGAACATCTTACAAAATTATTTTTAAATCTGTATCTAGCTAAATTTTTAGATACTTCAAAACCATGTTATTTATTCATCCATATGCAAAACCGCGCGCAACAAAAGCTAGAATTTTTTGTATTTATTCATGCAAATCGGTAAAGATGTAAATCAATTGACACGGTTATCCGATATGGTCATTCGATGTGAAAATTTTCGCTTCTCTAGCTGCAAAGACACGTGAACGAGGTGATAGCATTGTAATTATCGCGCGTCTCGTAGCGTCGCGTATTAGTTTAACAAGCGACGATGTCATTATATGCAGAGTTATCAGCTAACGTTCCGATTTTTGCCTCAAACGGGGTGCTATTTGAATAATTATCGTTCTGCGCGCGAGTATATACGTGTACGAACGCAGATTTATGCTGTCTAATAATGCGCTAAGTGTTTTCCGCGAACGCGCAGTCGAGAGCTGTCATGCTTGACACGTGTTAATTTCGTGCACCGAGTTACACGCGTGTCATTGCACATTTTCACACCGCTCGCTACTTTGTTAGAAAAATAACGCTAATGGCATTAACGAGTTGCTTGAATCAGATACAATTATGTTACCATCAAGTCGCTTCGTTTATTTCTCATTAAAAATTTGGCAACGATAAGCATATTGTATCGTCATATTTACATCACCTTTCCAGAGCCGATCATAAGTCTTATGGACCCACTTAATTATAAATCTATCTGTCCAAAATGTAAAATTCAATTTTCTTTGCGTTACATCTGCAAAGTTGTATTATTTTATATTTTGATTAGGAATATTTTAATTGAAATATACCCAATATTCGTTCTTTTTTATGCGACTTATGTCATTTTGGTTTCTTGAAATTAATTAGTACTTTTAAATGAAATAGAACTTACACTGAGAGAAAAATGTTTTGTGTTTGTAACCATAATTATATATTACTATAATTATGATTATTATTGCTACAATAATAATAATAGTAACTATGCATATAGTTCTAGCAACAAATGTACATACATAGTTGGCAACCTAAAATTACTATAATTATAATTATTGTAACCATAAAATAGTTGTAAAAATTACCATAAAAATGATTCAAGTGACTATAATTTTATGGTAATTTTCACAACTATTTTATGGTTACAATAACTATAACTATAATCATTTTAGGTTGCCAACTATATACATTTGTCGCTAGGACTATATACATAGTTACTATTATTATTATTATTATAGCAGTAATAATCATAATTATAGTAATATGTAATTATAGTTACAAATACCAAACATTTTTCTCTCAGTGTACAGTCCCAGCGTCAGTAATTGTAAAAAAATTTATCTCCACAGCAATTTATTAATTCTTATTCCTTCGACGTGGAGAATCTATGCTCTTCTCCCTTTTGCCAAGATATTTTCCAAGATCTACATGATGTGTAGGAGGCAAGTGAAATTTCCGTTTAATAATGGAAACAAATTCGCGCTGGCAAGGATTAAAGGCTCGTTAGCGCAAATATAGTGGCGGCATGACGCATGATTAATTCAGGCAGCCGTAAACGCGCGAGCGGCGGCTATCGCGAGCATAAATAATGATCCCGCGTCTCTCTAAT